GGGGGGGTGTGGCACTGTGGGGGAGGGGAAGGGGGTACCCTCTTTTTTTCCCCCATCCCCCACTGCTCACTTTATGTCCTCCCCCTTCTTGTCCCCAGGGTGGGCCCAGCACCCACAAAGCGGAGGAGCTGATGAAACAACCGGATTATTCGGATAAAATCAAACATTTGTTGGGAAATCTGCAGGCTCAGCCACCGGGACCGAGCGGAGGTGAGTGCGGGACACAGAGGGGCCATCGGGGTCACCGTTGGGGATGCACCCTGTCGCTGGTGGAAGTGGGGGGGGAATGTCGTGGGGATGGGTGGCCTCGGGGGGGGACTGCTGGGAGCATGAGTTGCGCCCCTGAGGCGGCGTAAAGGGAGATCTTGGCTTGGGGACACTGTCCCCTGCCCCAGCGGGGACATAAAGGGGTGTCCTTGGTTTGGGGACATGTTGGGGACACTGTACAGCACCCTGACAGGATGTGGGGGTGTTCTTGGCTTGGGGACATGCTCAGGGACACTGTCCCCTGCATCAGCGGGCACATAGGGGTGTCCTTGCCTTGGGGACATGCTGGGGACACAGTTGGGGACACTGGATAGTGACGGGGCTGCCCTTGGTTTGGGAACATGCTAGGGACATAGGGGTGTCCTTGGTGTGGGGACATGCTGGGGGCACTGTCAGTGACCTGACAGGGGTACGGGGGTGCTCTTGGCTTGGGCATGCGGCTGGGGACGCTCTCCGGCACCCCAGTCAGGGACGTAGGGATGCCTTTGGCTTGGGGACATGCTCGGGGACATTCTCAGGGACACTGTCCCCTGCCCTGGCAGGGATGCGGGGCTGCTCTTGGCTTGGGGACGCACTCGGGGCGCTCTTGGGGACACTGCTCAGTGCTCTGGCAGGGACATGGGAGTATTTTGGGGCTTGGGGACACGCTTGGGGACACTGTCCCCTGCCCCAGCGGGGACATAGGGCTGCCCTTGGCTTGGGGACACGATCGGGACACAGCTGGGGACACTGTTCCGTGCCCTGACAGGGAATTAGGAGTGCTCTTGGCTTGGGAACACACTTGGTGACACTGTCCCCTGCTCTGGTGTGATGTGGGGGTCCCCTCAGCTCGGGGACATGCTCCAGGCAGTGTTGGGGACCCTGTCCCCCACCTCGGGGTGACGTGGGGTCTCCTGAGCTCAGGGAAGTGCCGGGGACCCTGTCCCCTACCTTGGGGTCCCCTTGATTTGGGGACACGCTCTGGGCTGTGGTCTGGGGTGACACTGCGGGGGTCCCTCAGCCTGGGGACCCAGGGGGACACTGGGGTCCTCTGGGCATCACCAAGGATCTGTCCCCATCCCCGGGGGGGGCACACGGGGCACTTGGGGGGGGTCCCTGTGGGTTGGGGATGTGTGACGTGTCCCCAACTGTCCCTATGGGCTGGGGCACTGCCAGTGATGTGTCCCGTCTGCCGGGGGTCACATGGGGGGGGAGGGGATATTGGTGTCCCCTCGACTCGGGGACGTGCTTTAAGCACTGCTGGGGACCTGTTGTCCCTTTTCCCAGGGGTGACTCGGGTGTCCCCTGGGTTTGGGGACATGCTGGGGGAGATGCGGGGGGGACGTTGGGGTCCCCTCAGCCTGGGGACCTGTCCCTTCTCTGGCTGGAGGTGACATGGAGGGGGAGCTGTGTCCCCTCAGCCTGGGGACATGGCCTGGGTGCCACTGGAGACCCCGTGTCCCTTTCTGGGGTGACACTGGGGGGGTATAGGGGGTCCCTTTGTTTTGGAAACAAGATCTGGGGACAGCTGGGGACCCTGTGTCCCCCTCTGGGGTGACATGGGGGGGGTATGGGGGCCCCCCTCATTTGGGGACAAGTTCTGGGTACTGTGGGGACGCTGTGTCCTATAGGGTGACACGTGGCAGGGGATATTGAGATGCCCTTAATCTGGGGACATTATCTGGGAAGCGTTGGGGACCCCGCGTCCTCTGGGGTGATAGAGAGGAATTTTGGGGTCCCCTTAATTTGGGGACAAGCTCTGCGTGCCCCTGGGGACCCTGTGTCCTCCTCTGGGGTGACACAGGCTTTTTGGGGGTCCCCTTGGTTTGGGGACACTTCCCAGGTGCTGCTGACGACCCCATGTCCTCTGGGGTGACACGGGGGGGTGGGGGGCGGTATTGGGGGTCCCCTTAATTTGGGGACAAGCTCTAGGCACCCTTGGGGACCCCGTGTCTCCCTCAGGGGCGAGAGGGGGTCCTCTTAACTCAGGGGTGGTCCCCTTAACTTGGGGGGACACGACATGCCCCTGGGGGTGGGGGGGCAGGTGTCCCTTTGAACTGGGGACACCCCCCTGCTTATGGCCACCCTTGTCGGGGGGAGGGGGCACCAACCCCTCTCCTCTGCTTGGGCTGTGGGGGAGCATGATGACTTCAGGGGCCTCTGGGGGGGGCTGGGGGTCCCCTCCTTCACTAACCTTCCCCCCCCTTTTTCTTTGTCCCCCCCCCAGTGCCCCACGGTTTGCTGGGCCCCGGCCCCATGGCCAACGGTTTCCCACCCGGCCCCAAGGCCATGCAGCACTTCCCGCCGGGGGGACCCATGCCAGGTAAGTGACACCACGGGGGAGTCACGGGGACACTGGAGGTGACGCAGGGAAGGTGGGGGGGGGGTTGTCCCCCGTATGCCTCCCCCTTCGACTTACCTTCTTTCTTTCCCCCCACAGGACCCCACGGAGGAGGCGGGGGGGGACCCGGCCTCCCCCCAGGTCCGGGAATTCCAGGAGGCCCCCGACTTTTAGGGCCGCCCCCCCCTCAACGCGGCAACGCCGGAGGCGATTTTTGGGAAACGCCAGAAGGGGGGGGGAACATCCGAGGCGGCCCCCACGGCGGCGGAGGCGGTGGCGGCGGC